GTTTTCCTTTCAACTTTTCCACAGAGGCAGGCCTTGTAACCATTTAGTTCTTGCCAAGCGTGTTTATTAATTTCGTTAAGTGATCTATTCTTTCACTGCCGACTTTTCTGAACGTTTTTCACATTCAGTCAAGCCCTAGCCCACAGTTGTGGTCTCTGTAAACACTTTGATACATATCGCTACCGCATTTACATTCTTATTATTGCACCTTTCATATTTAGCTATAAGGTATATGACTGTTACCTAGCCAGATTTTTTCTAATGCTGTCTCTCTGAGATCAGACGCGCCTAGATTTTTATTTCCAATCCACCGGGGAATTGTATAGATATGAGATAAAAAATTGTAATAGGTTGTTATTTTAATTAAAGCTCAAATAGGAAACCAATTGTACGAACTTTTCGATAAACTTCATTTGAAGTTCATAGAGAAATTAGAAATTAAAATTTAAAAATAAATAAATAATATGTACATTACCTACATTATAATAGCAATGATGCAACATGAAGCATTATGACCGATCAAAGACAATAAATAACGCAAGTAAGTACAATAACACCCATTCTCTAAAAAATCGCTTATGCGTCGTGCTCATAAATTAAATCGAAAAGCGTATATTTATTTCATATTTAAGATCTTGAATTCACTTATTTTAATATACTGAGATTGCTGTCTTAATACTCGTACTATTTTGTTAAAACATACAAATAATTCTTATACTGAATTTTAAACAATTTAATAATGTAACCGTAACGCATGCGTATTGAAATTGAGTAACTATATAATTTTTCCATTCTCTTTAGTTTATTAAACTCAATTTATAAATATGAGCTGAAACGGTTAGCTAACCAAAAGAAATGCAATTGTTTTTATGTTGTTGTATAAAATGTGCATTGTAGCGAAAATAATTAATATAAAAAACTTATTTTTGTACATTATTTTTATTTTTGTACATACATATATATAAAAAAAAATTAATTTTTTAAATTAATTAACGTTATTTTTTCTATACAGCTGATTTATAGACATATGTACATGTTTTTATTAAAAGCATTTAACGTCGATTTATTTCGACGATTTTAATAGTTTTAAAAGCCTACGAAAGCTGAATTATTGAAATAACAAGTTCAGTTGGTTGAAATTGTAAGAAAAAAATAATTATGAGGATTTTGTACTGGTTTTAGCCGGGTTAGCCTAAGAACATAATATAAATTTGTATGAAGCAATAACATTAGGAATAAACGAATATGACATCAGTTGCCTCGTTCTACAATTCAATGTAATTGACACAATTCTAATTGCTCAAACTTATTATTCTCATTTTTTTAATAGTTTTAAATTTCGCACCAGTAGGATTAAAATCAATTTGAGGTCAAAATTCAATTCAGTCATTCATTATTAAACATACATATATTTCTATTAGGGCAAAAATAATCGTCTTATTTAATTTTAATTCATATTATCCTTTGTTCATATCCTGCCTCCATATATGTGTGTATAAGTATATAAATTGAAAAAAAGGAATATAATTGCTAACGCGTCTCTCAAACTATGGTGCATTTTTAAATTTTACAATTCACATATAATTTTTACACAACTTACATAGTAGTTCAGATTTGTTAGGAAAATCTTCTAGAATAGTTAAAACTACTGAATAAATTAATTTTTCTTTGACTTAGGGCTACATAAAATATTTTACATATTTAGGCATGTATGTACATGCAGGAAAATAACACACTATATAGAAGGAGCTTTGTAATTTTTCGTATTAGAATCGTTCGTAAAATTAAAATGGCTATAAATATTTTACTTATACAAAAACAGCCCTTGATTTACTTGTTGTCACAATGCCGTCGATTTTGTATTTCTAATTCATTATTTGATAATAATGTTGTGCATATACATAATATTTAACTTGTAACCGCTGACAAGTGAAGTTGGAAAAATCATTTTCAATCATTTGTATTGTGTTGTATTTGTGTAGTTATTCTTTTACACATGTTTGTTTTGAGTATATTTTATGTTCTTCAGTGTTTTTATTATTTAAAATTTTTCTCGAAAAAGTGCGACAACAGGTTTTCGAGAAGTAGTATTTCATTTCTTGTTGAGAATTATTCTCTCAAACAAAATCAAAACAAAAAAGTGTAAAAGTAAATATAAATTTTATTGTAAACAAACAAACAGCTGATAAAACTTAAAAAAAAGCGCATGCGTTTACATTGCGCTCACTGCCCTTATCAAAAAAAAATCAAAGAATTACTCTTTTTTTTTGTTGAATTTTATTTTTTTTAATTTCTTTATTACGTCTTTCTTTTAACTTCCCTTTTCAACTTTTAATTTTTTTTTATTTTAAATATAAGCCAAATATCAAAAGTCTACAGAAACAGACAGTCTGGCATTTAATGCAATAAAAAGGCAAACTACAAAAATGTGGTCGAAGATAGAATTTTGGGGTTGCCAACAGTTTTAAGTTTTAAAATGTAAGCAGATAAATTAACATAATTTTATAAATAATAATAAATTAACATAAGCAAAATTTTCAAGATTAACATAAAAGACATTTTCGGTAAAAAAATATTTTGTAATTTTTTCTTATTTGGATTTCTGTCTGATTTGTTAAAAAGTAAGAAATACAAGCATTAAAAAAAGCAGTTTAGTTCTTCTAAATATGTATGTAAATTAAAAGACAGTTTTCGTGAGAGTAAAATATTTGATTTGGCAACCCTTATCCGTAGTTTATAGTAATAAGGAAAGCAACACAAATACGAAACTTGTTGCATATTTTTTCATACACATTTCGTAATATACTATGGAATTATGTACACGTTTGTCTCATTTGTTGGAAACTCTACAATTTATAACATTCATTAAATAGATTTGCTGTACTACACTGTACTATACTACTATGACTATTTTATATTATAATACTTATAATTAATTTTATAAAAAATTAACAATGGAATGCAGTTTGAAGATTAAAGATATAAGAAATTCTTTTTTACATACAGACCTAGACAATATGATTTTGGATTTCATGAAAAATTTTCTAAATTCTTTTTCTATTGATTTTGCCTTTTATATTGAAGTGATCGTCATAAATTTTCGGACATTTATTGAAAAATTTAAAAAAAAATGTGATTTATAAAAAATAAACTAATATTTTTTAATTATACAGTATGTATGTATATCTGTATAAAGTCATAAAAGAAGCACCATCTACATATTTCTGCATAACATCAGCGTAGAAGTCTCCTCTTATCAAACTTGTTCACTGATTGTTAGTGCCAATTATGATGTCAAATTCTCTTTTATTGCAAATTTTAATGTTTGAGAAAATATTCGAAATACTTACAATACGTTTACGAAACAACTGCTACATAACGGTATTTGCAATTGTTTCGTAAACGTATTTTATTTCTTACTTTAATTTTTTAACTTTTTTATACAGCAATATATGAACTACTCTAAGTGTTAACGAATTAAAAGAAAATATTTAAATTTTCTCTTAAAAAACAGTTAAACTGCAGTAAGCGTTAAAAATATGTACTATTCAATCGACTACGCAACGCAATGTTGTTCTTCTTTGATTTATTTGTTTTCTCTCTCTGTTAATCACTATTCGCTCTACAATAAAAACTCACTCGAATTCAATCAGAAATTTTGGATTTCTCTTAAATATTTCTACAAACTACAAAAATTCCTTTTTTGTTGTTGTTTGAATTGTTGATTTTGGAGCTTTGAAAAATATTTTGTACTTGTTTTTTTGTTTTTTCTTTAGCTGTCTTCATTTTAGGTTTTTGTTTTTTTTTTTGTTCAAAATCCCCAACGCTTTAAGTGGAGTACAGTGTACAAGACGAAAATATGAGTTTAGTTTTTGCTTTAACACAAAAAAAAATCTTGGGTCAGTCTAAGTTAAACCGATGTGTAGTGTAGGTGGTTATATTAAACGCGATATTCGACGTTGCTAAGTTGTTTTTTGTTATATATATTATTATTTATATATTGTAGAAAATGTTATAGTTTTTAACAATAAAAATAAAAGTTATAAAAAATAATAACTGGAATAAAGAGCTTTTTTAATGATTTTATTTATGAAACAGTGTTGAAGTTTAAAAGAAGTGTTGATATTAAAAAATCAAAAATATATACATACACTTATACGTATTCGATATTTGTTAAAATATAACAATATTTTGTACAAGTAAAATATAAGGCATTTTAGTTGAAATAAATATAAGGCAGTTTAGTGAAAATAAATATTCAATAAATAAAAAATATTTTTACTATAAGCTTAAAAAATATTAAATTGTTTTGGAAAAACCTGCTTAGGAAAGCAGCAATTAAATAAGTTTTGAAGTGTAAAATATCAAAAAGAAAATTATTTGTTTTTGGTGCAGTTCTTTGGCGGTTATTTTGTATTATTTAATGTTTTTGTTTTCTCCTTTGTTTCTCATTTTTAAATAGTTTTAGATTTAAACTAAATAAATTGAATTATTTGAAAATATTTCACCATTGCAAATTGAAATTCACAGAACTCGATTTGAAAGGAAGATTAAAATGCCACGGTTTAAAGTCAAATAATCATTCATGTGCTTATATAATTTGGTTTTAGAAGTGTTTCACCATTCTGCAATCAAATTAAAGAAAATAGTTCAATATAATTGTTGGACTAGTTAAACTTACAGTACAGTAACAACAGTTCTAATTAGAAAAAATAAATCTTTTAATATTGTCAAAAAATTATTCAAAAATTAGCCTTTTAATATTATTTTGTGTAAGTTTAAACAAACAAAATAAAATTTTTGTTTTATAAAGATTTCTGAAATCAAATTAAAATTAAAAATTTAAATCTTTCAAGTTATAGAATTTTTAAAATTTCTTATAAATTTGTTATACAATTATAATTGTATATAATTTTATTTAGGTACCTTAAATACAAATTCTCTTATAATTTTTTAAAAATTTTCAAAAAAATTATATTGAATAATAATACATATGTAAATATTATTTAAATAAATACAGCAGTTAAAATAAAGTTGTGTTATATAAATTTTTTTATATAAATAAACGCCCACAAAAAGTCCATATTGTTGGGCTACCAACATCTAAAAAAATATATCAAGAGTATTTGTGTTTTTTTACGATTTAAAAACAAAAAGAGGCGTTTAAAGTGTGAATTTTAAATATAAATATGGGAACAGTTGTACAAGTATGTTTAAAATCATAGAATATCAAATAATAATTTATTGTCTTTAAAATAAAAAAAAAATTAAATTAAATTAAATTAAATCAAAAGTTACACAAAGTGACAAAAAAAAGTTGTTTTGTTAAATGAAATCTGATCATTTTTTTTTTTGGCAATGCTTTTTCAAAAATAAAGAGGTGTTAACCTGATAATCGGGAATAAATTTTTTATATAAGCACATATACCGTATATTTTTTTTAATTTTTACATATCGGAAACACATGTGTACTCGCCATTGTTCTGGATTAAATAACTATTAAATATTTAGAAAAATTCGGCCCAATTTGGATTATTAGAAAGCACATATTTTGTTTTATAAGCAGGTTAGTATACTATATTTAAGTATACTTACTTATATAAATTTGTATGTTAAATTAGTTTTTCAGTTGTAAAGTTGTAAAAATTGTTACCCAGAAAGTTTACCATATGTATGTGAGTATGGTAGAGAACGAATTTACCATATTATGTAAATATGAAAATTATATTTTAATTCACACGAAAATTTCCTAAACTTTATTTTTGTCATTACCTTAAGTGAATTTTGAAGTTTACTATAAATTTAACATAATTGGGAAACTAAAATTGTGAAAAACAGATTTTTCTAACGAAAAAATAACAAAGAAGTTTAACAAGTCAAAAACTTGATTTTTAAAATATGTATGCGCATTAACATAAACCTATGTTTCGCTATTTTGTAATTACCGAACAGAATTAATAAAAAATACTTAAGTATGTAAATTCTATTTCAGAAAAATTAATCAAAATTCTGGTGTATGTTTAAGTTTTTCAATAATAATTACTGTTATGATAGTGAAATATGGGATCATATATGGATTTACAAAATTAAGTAAGTGAAATTTGTAATCGAACCCATTTTATAATTGATTTTACTAAATGTGAGCGAATAAATTTATAACACTACCAAAAATTTTCAGTTTTTTCTGGGTCGTTATTTATTTTTATATATTATACCCACATACTTAAGAAATAAATTTATTTAAGTATAACTTGCAAGTAATTTTTTTTTTTCAAAAATTTCATTAATTTATTGTGAAAATATGCGAAAATTTATTAAATTTTATCTTAGAAAATTCCATTTATTAAGTAATATGATACCCATAAAGATGTTCTGATCAAAGTCCTTATCCTTTTCCATATTAAAAATAAAACTTTACATACTAACATGACATATACATATATATAAGCATATGTTATGTTTACCTATGTAGCTTTACATAAACGAAAATAAATTTTCATAAAACATTTACATTACTTAATCCATACCTGTGGTTTTTATTCAAATTTACGATATTATTGTACGATATCATGTTACAAATTTATTTAACTAAAATGAGAATAGAAAAATATATCTGAATAAAAAAATCCAGAAAATGGAAGGAATATAAAATATTTATCTTATCTAATATTTATCTTAAGGATACTAAAAAATTTTTATTTTGCATTTAAGGCAATGGTTATTAAAATAAAGTTAATTCTTGTAAGAAGCGAGTTAATTCTATACATCTTATGTCTTGAATTTAGTTTTATTTTATTGCACTTTTTTGGGTTATCGAATATTTGTATTTTTAACAAAGAGTTCAGATAATTATATTACGTTATTGGAAGCTTAGACACTTCCTTAATTCCTAAATTAAAATAAATTAAATTGAAATAAAATAATTAACGAAACAGTTGGAATTCGGTAAAAACTAATTAAGTACTTAGTCATGTATTGAGGTGTAAATTATCATTTAATGCATATGTATATCGTCACTCCAACCTTTAATTCGTTTCATAAGAAACCCAGAAATAAAAGCCTATTAACCTGATGAGGCTAAGATTGCCAATATATTCTTTCAACTTATCATATTACAATAGCAAATTCTATTTTTCATTTAAATTTTGAAAAGCAAAACTTTTCTTGAAATTATTTGGCTTATTATTTAATTTAAACTTCGATTTCAATATAAAAGTTGAATTTATTAACGACAAATTTCCAGCAATTTTTTTAACGTATTGAAATTAACTAATAAAAAGTTTGTAGAAGAAAGGTCTCTTCAAATAACTTTAGGAAAAGTTAAACCTTATTATTTTAATAACCACAATACGATATCAGTTTCCACGTGAACACAATTATTACACTATACATACGTAATAACAAGAAATTCACTAATACACAATACTCGCTTATAATAACTTTTGGTTTGTTTGATTTTTTGTTGCCTATTGTCTTAATACCCATAAAGTACTCTTAATCTTTTTCCGTTGTCTATTTAAGTATTTGAAACCATTTAAGAAAATGTATAGAAGGTATCAATTATTAGATTCAATAACAAGTATGTGTGTTTGTATAATTATTTAAATGAAATATACAACTAATTTTCATAAAAGAATATTATAATATAAAATATCAATGCATAATGCATTAAGTTAATTCACAAATTCCAATTATTCTGCTGCAATACACTTTCTCAAAAAATATGAAAAATTATGAAAACAACGATTTCTTTATTTCTTATACCTATGTATACCTCAACAAAAATCCAGACACAGTTTAATGATACATTCAATTAATTTAACTATTAGCTGTGTATGTAACATATAAGGTGTCTAAGTATCTGAGGTGCTACAGTATTGTAAATCGTAATAAACAATAAATAATATGAAATTATGTTATATACTCAAGTGGAACTTAGTTTTGATATTATTAGTAATAATATTACCAGTTTTTTCATAAGTTCAGTCATATCATTTTCTTCATTGTAAATTAATTTCCTACTTTCAAATACAATACGGAGCAAGACCAAAACATAAAAAAAAATAAGAGCCACAACATTACAACACATATTTGTATTCATTATTTACCTTATGTGAGACATCCACCTAGCTCGGATCTTGTTCGTATATTTGTTGGAAGGATCCACCTAGCTCGGATCCAGTTGTTATAATGTTAGAAAGATCAAATCAACTTGGAAACTCTCGCAATATATGTTGGAAAGATTCTGCTAGCTCGAATCCAATTTTTGTATATGTTGGAGGAATCTTTTTGTTGTATATGTTGCAGAGATTCACCTAGCTCGGATCCGGCCGTTGTATATGTTGACAAGATCAGCGTACAAAAATCCAGTTGTTATGTATGCTAGAGGTATTCACCTAACTCGGATCCAGTCGTTGTATATGTTTGAGGGATCTATTGTTGTATATGTTGCAGGGATTCACCTAGCTCGGATCCGGCCGTTGTATATAAGTAATTAGCGAAACATCAATAAGTTTTAATATAAATTTTTAAATATATGCATATGTACATATATCTTATTAAGGCAGAGTTAATCAATGCCCCCATTTAGAAAGCTTTTAGTAACGCTTTCAAAAATCTTTAATTTCAAAATCCGGCTACAATTCTTTGGAAGAATTTGGAAGATAGAAGAATTATCCATTTTTGACTCTCTTACCAATGTTTGAGTATTTTTGCACACTTATTTGAATCACCCTGTGTACATACACTTTCGTTCCTTCAGCTTTATTTATGCGGCCGGAAAACTAATACAATAAGCACTTTGTAATGTTTTTGTTTATGCATGTATAAAAGTTATTTTTAGTTTTCACGTACAAATAAAAATAATGCAGCCAAATCGAAAATCCAACTGAAAAACGTAAAAAAAATTGAAATTCCAATATTTGTATGTTCATTGAAAGTATATACTTATATATCAGATATATACATTCCTACATATTTATGTACAGAAACAAGTACACAGTTGTGGTACGTTTTAGGTTTGCAAGTATTCAATTTTTAGGGACAAGTATCATAAAAAAAATTCTGATGTTTTTCATTCATGTTTTTCATAAAAGTAGATTTGTTGTTGAACAAAGCAGAATATGAGTTTTTCAACAAGAAATTATCCTACAAGTAGAAACTGGACTGAAAGTAAAGCATATTATTTACTCATACGATTTCTCAGTAATCTATATATCGTAGCTCGACAGAATCTCTTATTTTGGGTTTTCTCGAAAATATGTTTTTAAAGTTAGAAATGCAAAATTGAAACATATTGTCTAGCTCAAAACTATTTTAATATATTCATGTAATATGAAAGAAAACAACACTAAAGCGACGATGAATTTGAATAAATTCAAATGGGGTAGCGTTGGCATGCAATTGGAATAAACTTAAGAAATGAGAAAAAATTGCAGTTTAAAAGAGTTAAACATATAAACGAAATAGATATTTTCTATCGAATATACTATATATGTTATTAATAGTGGTCATTTATAAAAAATGTGTGAAACTTAAATAAATTCTACAAACTAACTATGTAATAACACCGTATAGCAGTACAACTATTATTATATGTACCTAACCTATATGTTTATTATATGCACCCTCGTGATATTCTCGAGGGTGCATAATACGAATTTTTGTGGTAGGTTTAGATAAATTGTACATATTCTATTTAAAAGAAATCAAGTGGTAGCGAAATTATAGTTAGTTGAAAAGTTTAAGATTTAATATTTGCTGAGTTTTTTTTTTTTAAATAAAAGCGTGTAAATACATAAGTAGACAGACATATTATGTAGCTTGCAATCTGCATAACAAAATAAATGGCTAAAGTAAATCTTATATCAATGTAAATTGATTATTCGGTTGTAAATAGTTTAATTGACAAGATACAAATAAAATTAAATAAAGTTTGAACTTAAGTGTGATTTAAATCATATTTGATAATAAATAAAGTTGGATCAAACCACTGGTTTGTATTGTAGCACTTTTCCCTTCAACAGGTGAAAATTCTGCTTTTAAATACAGTCTATGTATATTTATCACACTGTTAAAATTATTTTCGTTACAAAGCTATTTCTAGGATTGCATATATCCTAGAAATATTGGAGATGGAAAAAAATTTTCTTCTAACGAAATGAACTCTTTGTTAATGTCTAAAAGCCCCTTTCAAGCTTCTACAGGCTGGGGTCTATAAGAAAAACGAAATCAAAAATTTAGAAAAAAAAGACTTTAGATAACGGTAAATTTGAACGGCCATTTTGTTTTTCTAAAGTTTAACTATAGTATACCACGCTAGAGGAAGCAAATCGCTGCGTTTTTGCGTTTGCAAAATTTCAAAAATGCTTATGGTTTCATTGCAACCAATAGTTAAAAAAGGCCATTTTTAGGGTTTTGGGGGGGTATAACTTCTAGAGAGGGGGAGATAGCTAAAAATTTTGTTCTACGAAAATAAGTTTCTAGTAAAGATCTATGTACACACAAAACTTCAGCTTTCTACCTTCAAGGGTGTAGAAGTTTTGTAAACAGACACACGGACACGGA